TGGTGTGGATTTATTTTACTTAAAATTCATTGGTAAGTATTTCTTGACTGCACACTACCTGTAGGTGCTGTGGAAGATTAAAAGGAAATAATGTGACATAGTTCAGTTATCAATGAGTTTATAATCTAACTGAGGTCAAGACCAACTCCTGGGAAGCTAAAGTCAGTAATTTAAGATGCTTTATCATTTGTTACATATAATGTTAAATTCTGGGGGAAAGGACTTGTGGCTTTAGAAGAAAAGGGACACTAGAAGTTTGGGACAGTCAGGGAAGCAGGCAATGCAATCTGAATGATTTTAATATGATCATTTGAAAGAAATCTTACTTTCTTTTTCATTTGAAATGTGTGCCCCGTATTTCTCAATCACAACCTTACTGCCATTGCTATTATCCTGAGAAATATTTTAGTGAAAATATTAACTTGAAGAAAAGGATTAGAACTAATCAATTGTCATTTAGATGCCAGCAAACTTTTGGTTTGGTTTATCTACAGTGACTTAAATGGTCAGAATGCCTTTTTTCTAGTCTTTCAGCAGGCTAATATGTGATGCCCTTTAAACAATACAGGGGCTACTGGGGCTCAGGAAGATCTCAAGCAGTGGTTCTCTGGTCTGGGACATGGGAACGCCTTAGAAGTGCAAATTCCCTCAGACCTACCCCAGACCTACTGCTTTAATAAGCCCTGCAGGTGATTCTGATGCAGCCTAGAGCTTGAGGAGCACTGGTTTAAGAGGACATCCTTCCTTAAACGGAAGAGGAGCTGCATTGGGACAAACAGAGAAACAGCCTTGCTTAAGGAGCGGGTGCATGGGGAGCCCGCCAGATTCACAAATCTAAAGTGATGATGAGCTTTCTTCCGAGAGAGAAGATGTGACGGTGTTCTGCCTTCCATTCTGCATTGTAACTCCTGACTCCCATTCAGAGGTTGCCATGATAAACTATTAAGTACCACCTCCTCCTGGAAAATTCTGGGATTAGCATAGTGGCAGGAGGCGGATATTTATTGAGAACCTATTATTTATGCCAGACATTGAGCAATGCCTTTGCAGAGACGGTCCTATTTCACACTTACTAGCCAGTTTCGATTCGGTGTGATTAGCTCTATTTTGCAAATACAGAGACAGGCTCAGAGGGCTTGCGGAACATGCACAGGTTGTGTCCCGCACAACCAGGAAGTAATAGGGCTGGATTTACATCCAGAAGGAAATGAGCAACAGGTGGTGGTAATGTAGGATTTATTTGAATTGTTTCAGGTTCAGGGTTTAATCTCTTTGGTTTCAGGATGGCAACTTTAAAACAAAATACATTCTAACCATTTTTTGAATTGTTCTCATTGTAACAACTGCCCAGTTACCATCTTTTAGACTAGAATCATGCTATGGCATGATTATAAAGCTAATATTTTTTTCCTCAAAGGATGAATTTTCTCAGAAGGAAATGTTGGATGATAATAATGATAAATATTAGGATCTCAGAAACCAGGTTTGTAGTCATTCAGAAAAAGAATGCAGAAAAGATTATTTGATGACATTTTCACCATTCTCAATACATAGAACTACTTTATAGTTTTAGAAGCAGCTAATTTTTCCTATATCTCGTCCCTCTCCTATTTAAATAGAACAATTTGTGAGTCAAATATAAGATTTTACATCAAAGTTATTGAGGTATATTCAAAATACATGCTAGAATGGGAAGCAAAAACTAATAAAAGGAGATTTAATTGACTGAGTGGTTGTAGATACTAAATGTTTGCTCTTACAGTGGTGTGCTGAGGCTGGCTTGACATGCAAAAGTGAATTGCTACATTTTTAGGAATTTTGCAAGCAAACACAGCCATTACTAAGCACTGTATTAAATAAACACAATCGTGGGGCAACTGGGGGGCTCAGTCGTTAAGCGTCTGCCTTCAGCTCAGGTCATGATCCCAGCGTCCTGGGATGGAGCCCCACATTGAGCCCCATATCAGGCTCCCTGCTTGTTGAGGAGCCTGCTTCTCCCTCTCCCTCTGCTTGTGCTCTCTGTCAGATAAATAAAATCTTTAAAAATAAATAAACACAAATAAATTATATTAAAAATGAAGACACCCAAACTTCCTAATTTTTTTTTTTTTAAAGATTTTATTTATTTATTTGACAGAGACAGAGATAGTGAGAGCAGGAACACAAGCAGCGGGAGTGGGAGAGGGAGAGCAGGCTTCCCGCCAAGGGATCATGACCTGAGCCGAAGGCAGACGCTTAACGACTGAGCCACCCAGGCGCCCCAAACTTCCTAATTATTTTACATTTTACTATTCTTGATCCTCTTGAAGCTATTTATGTCTAGTACATCTGTGTAGTAGAAATGCTGTATAAAGTTGTGTTCCTGTGCGTCTCTCCCCAACTCCACCTTGAGGGAAACTGTGGTGGTAGGTTGATTGGCCATGGTGGGGCATACACAACAGAAAAACCAGCAAATGCTACAAATCAGGCCTCTCCTGACTCCAAACGTTGGTGTGAAACATTTATCAGCATGCCGCTGATAACAATAGGCAAATTTAAAATGAAGACATGATCTGAGTTCAAGTGTTTGTCTTTGATATATATCGGAAAACTATAGCCAAAATGGCACTGAACTTAAGGACTATATAAGAGTTCTGGCAGAAGAGAAATAGCATACTCAAAGGGTTTAAAGAGTTTTTAAAAGGGACTATTTACAGGGATGCCTGGGTGGCTCAGTCGGTAAGTATCTGATTTCAGCTCAGGTCATGATCTCAGGGTCCTCGGATCAAGCCCTGCGACAGGCTCCCTGCTCAGCGGGGAGTCTGCTTCTCCCTCTGCCTGCCCCCCACTCATGCTCTCTCTCTGAAATAAATAAATAAAATCTCTCTGAAATAAATAAAACCTTAAAAAAATAAAAAAGGACTATTTACAGAGTGTAGGCAGGGTTAAGTTAAAGGAATCCACACTGATGGTGAAGCCCCTAGGACTAGGAACAGGATGAAATCATTACTACCTTTATACTTGTAGGGCAAGGGAGGGATGCTGTTACAACTTTTTGAGAACTGGACTGCAGAAGAGGGGCTGTGGCTCAGGAGGGAACCAACCAGAACCACACATGGAGCAAGGCAGTGGGGAGAAGGGGGAGGGATAGACACACCTTAACTTCTCTCCATCAGTGTCTCCATTTGGCCAATCTCGACCAGAAGCCAAGGGCAAGGGAGCCTTGGAGAATAATTTCTGGTAAGTCGGTTTCCTAGAGCACAAACAGGGCAGAGGCTCTGTGTGGAGACAGAATAAGCAGCAAAGGGACTTTTGGGAGTCACTAGTACTGACCATGGGTTTGTTCTGGACACATTCCTTAGTGAGGGACATTTAAGGGAGACATCTTGAAACTGGTTTTTAACAATTTACGAACATTCTCCCAGAGAGTGGGATTCTAGTAAACTTTCATAACTAACTGGTCTTGGAACTTGGGAGCCTTAAACCAAAATGAGTCAGGGGTAAAACTGCTAGCTTTTCTGTTTGTTTTAGAGAAAGTTGCAGGGTGGGTCTATTTTATTGTATAAATCAAGTGACCACAGTTTTCATGACAAGCATTAAATCCAAGTTATAGGAGCTTTGGACCATTTTTAAACACCACTTTGTGCCCATAAAGGCCTTCTGGTCAAGACTTGAAATCCTGGTTTTCATCTGGAACTTGCAAAGAAAATCAGCCAGGACAATGACCTATGACTCTCTCCTAGGGCTGTCATGAGGACCGCATGAGGCAGAAAACATAAAGGAGTCATTGCTCTTGATTGCCCGATGTGCCTGCTGTATTACTTGGGAGCGTCCTGGGCTACTAGCTACTCTCAGGACACCATTCTAAAGGACTCCTAGTTAGAGTTCTCCCAGGCTCATTTGGGGCCAGAATCTATTATGTGATCATGGCATTTTAATATTACGCTGAGACATATAAAACAACTGATACTGGACTATCTTTAACCAACAAAATCAACAATTATATGGCGCTGAACCTGGTGAGATATCCTCAGTATCGTCTCCTCTCCTGTTCCCATAAAGTTTCTTCAGAACCTTCGTCGGTGAAGTGTTGCAAAATCTCAGTGAGAACTCATTTTCTGCCACTCATCCCCAAGTTTTCTAAATTTCATGCCTACGAAATTTCAGGTCTCAGGAAACTTCTTCATAGGCAATCCTAACGATTCAGAGATTGTTTCCTGATACAGCTTCTCTAGGAGCCAGAGAGAGATGTGTTCCGGGGCTTAGAGCTCTGCTGTTGGGCAAGGGACAATCACAGGAAACCTCAAGGAAGTGAAGTTTACACCAAGTCCCAGTAGTATCTACGGAAATCCCAAGCAGGGTTGTGGCCTCCTTTCCCCCAGATTTTATGAAAACATGCTTTCTCAAGTCTTGCTGAGTTTGCAAATGTGCCATGAAAAGGTGTCAACAGAACTCAGCTGGTCAATGTCACTGGCAGTATTTTTTTTTTAAGTATATAAAGCAGCTCCCCAGGGGGGACAGGCACCCATGGCCAGGCTCGCAGAACGCTGAGATTTTGGGGCTCAGTCGCTTTCTGACTGTGCCATTGCCCCTTCACACGCCAATCAACTTATTTGAGCCTTGGTCATCTCTCCAGGGTGAGTTAGGGACACTTCATAAATTTTTGTGAGTGCATAAAAGAACCTAGCCATTTTCACACTATATCAAGGATCCTAAGAGGGTTTGATCGTAATAAATACAGCATAAATAATCATCTTATTGTATCACGCATGGATATTTGAATTATTCCTCTTCATACTGGGGTTTCAACTGATTGCAGAAGATGAGCTAAGATGATCTGGGGCTGTGTAATTTCTTCTTCATCTGGCTCATAGCTCGGTCCATGTGTGTCTTAGATTCAACCCTTTCAGGCAGGTTTTCTCCAAAGAACTTTGCCTCAGATTTCAGAATGATTTTGCCATCTCAAAGGTGATGTCTTATGTTAACGAGAGCAGTAATCTAAAAAGAATATGGCAAAAAAAAAAAATGCAACCAGACTGTCATTTATTAATACAAATTTATATAGTGGCATATGCTATTGGAGAAATCAGAAATTCATAACACACAAATTGGTATTAGAAATACAAAGATTATTTAAGTCAAGAAATCAGGTTGACAGCACCACAAATGTTTCACTCAGTCTGAGCATGTGTGTCCTATCCAAGAACAATGAACACCTACAGGACACTGAAACTAAATGTCCTAAGACTGTGCAAACACATTCCAACACGACTTCCACACCCAGGCGTGGAGTCTGCAGGCGGCCTCCAGGAGGCCCGGGGATCATAATAGGACAGCGAGGCAGAAAAAAGTCACAGACTCCTCGCTTTCAACCTTCACAGCAAGTGGGGGAGAGCAAATAGCAACCCCGGAGGGCTTCTTGTTCCTCCTGACCTAATGACATGGTATAGAAGATTAGTAAAACACACACAAGGCATTAGTGAGCAAGTTAGATAAATTGAAAGGAGGGCTTTGACTGAAATATAATCCTGCAGCAGTCACCAAATTATCGGATTCCTGCTATGAAATAGAAAACATAAACAGAATGAGAAACTGTATCAAAGGAGTAAATCTCAGCTTCACACCTCTAAACACTTCCTATTTAATAAGTGTGCATCCACTGAAGAAGTACCAGCATTCAAAAAAGTATACGTAGTCAGGGGGAAGAGCAGGAAGGGAGGGAGGTGGGAATAGTCCCAGGCTTTCCTCTCACACAGAGAGCTCACGGTCTCATGGTCCTCCCTGGATGTTGTCCTTGCCGCTCAAGACCACGTACATGGAAGCTGCTGAGAGCACTCAAGAGGTCTCGGTCTCCATCTCTTCCTGCGTTAGCTTCACTCTGCGCATGTCTTCACTCTCCCCATGCATGTGTCCTCCTCGGCAGGAGTGGAAGGGGTGTGCACGAAGAATATCTGAGCAAAGGCGACGGTGCCGCTTTAGTGTGGAAGCGTTCTGGCAAGTGGGAACAGGGATAAAGACCGGGCCAAATCAAAAGTTGCTCTGCAAATGATAGGCTTCCTGTCCTCGCAGAATTAGCATTAACCTTCCAGGTTGTTCTGGAGGAGATTCCACACCAGGCTGATGAGCTCTCCAGCCACGAGACACCAATTCTGGATGCTCCCGAGGCCGACACAGAAGTTCTGCCCCACACCGCCCAAGCTGGTCTCAAGGAGCATGCGCCCAGTCAGGAGTTTTGGGTTCTGGGCTCACCCCATTCCAGCCTCTCCTGAAAACTTCACTCACCCCAGAACGCTAAGCCAGACTTTCCTCTAAATGTCCTTCTCTGGAGGCTGATTCATAGTTTCAACTTCTGCTAAAACGTTCTTCTGGTTTTTCTGTTCAGTCGTTCTAAGACCACTGCTAGATTCATGCCTATGTCACGTGGTGCTTCTTCATTCCAATGAGGTTACTTATAATCCAAGCAGAAGAGGCAGTTTTGTTTTTGTGTTTTCCTATCTGCCCATGCAATCTTGCCACCAATGTCTCTCACCTCCCCTTCCTGAACTGATTCCTCTACCATCCACCCATGCCACCATTCACTTGTTTACCTAACAGATATTTCTGGAGTGCTCGTCCTGTGCAAGGCACTGCTGAGGAACCAAAGGCACGGCTCACAAGGTCCTCTTCTCAAGAGCTTGGCGTCTGGTAGAGATGCCAAAAACCATTCATGGCTCACTCTTTCTAGCTTTCTAGAACCAAGGTGTTTGCAGTGTGGGATGTTCTCACAGAGCCTGGGTCATTCTATGACTAATATGACACAGTATGCTGTTCTGTTGTTTGCTCAGTGACTGCGGTGTGCCATGCATCAGGAGGAGAACACGTCTTTCACTCCTTGGTTATGAAGTTGTGCCTGCATTTCAAAACAACATGACACACATGCTTGTGTTTTTGCCAGTCAGGCAAAAGACGAAAAAGAAACACAAAAGCAAGCTGTGTGCACACTTCATACAAAATCCCGAAGCTGCTATTCGAACACTGAATCATTTTAAAGCCATGTGTTTATGGCCTTGTCACGTGCTGATGTGGTAAAAATAAATGCGTGAGCTACCAGAAAAGAACCCCCCCCCAAAAGAGAAATCCCTGAAAACCTGTCCTGGGATCGGTGCCTTCTCTGCTGTGAGCGTTGGTACTTTATCTGTTGTGAGTACTAGTTGGCATCTCTTAACTCAGATTTCACTCTGAGTGGGGCTTTCTCCTAATTGGCTTTATTCAAATGAATCACTTACTTTTCTGAAACCCTAGCAAAATACAAAACTCGCAGCTAGCAAAGTACACAGGCTTGTCTGCTATTGGACTGGGCAAAGCCTGGGGTGGCAGGAAAGTGTGGTGGGTTTTGTAAGCATGCATGGCCATGTGGAATAAAAAGGCCAGGTGCACTGATCTTGTTTTGCAGCATTCTCTGTCAGGGAGGATGTCCTGACATGTCCTTGGTGCAGTGTAAACCAGTGGGGCACAAGGACATCCCCCTGGGCCTAGGGGGCCGTGCATCACTAATAGGGTCAGGCCCCTCCTCTGTCTGCCCTTCTGTTGGTGGGGGGTCCGCTCTGCCAGACTTCTGGCAGGGAGCTGTGTGATTTCTCCCGCAAGTTGTGGGACAAGGCTCTCATCTAGAGCACTTTGAAACCCCCAGGTGGAAAGGCTCTGGAAATGCAAAGGACAGTTAGAGGCCATGGCGGGCAAGCTGTCAAGCAGATACAATGAGCAAATACATAGGCTGTGCTGATTAGCAGGATTTTGAATGGAACTGGAGCATCAGCAATCCAAGTTCTGCTGCCCGGAGGCCCAGGGAAAGCCCAAGTAGAAGAAAGCTGGAGGTGGGGGAGGAAACCAATGTCCCCCCAGCAACCCCCCTGCCCCCCACCCCAGAGACCTGCCAGTGTACCTTCTCCAGTCTGCTGAGCCCCATCATCTAGCTGGAAAGTCTAAGCTCTGGCCAATACTGAAATATGTGCTTTCTAAGACCAGCCTTACAGAAGGAGCAATCTATACCTGCTGACACTATTCAAGAGATCTCCCGAAAGACCTCTGCTCCAGAACTCTGGGGTCTCAGTGGTTCTTTGTTTAATGAGGTAGCTCAGTTGTGAGTTGATGTGTGTGATGTGTGCCTTCCACCACTCAAAGCTATAGTTTTCCCTTTTTAAACTGCAAGATTATAAAAATACCAGTATTTGACCCCCGTCTTTATAAAAATGATTTTAGAAAAAAATACACACAGGTCTCCTCCGTTAAACTTCCGTTCCATCCTGTAAGTTGTTGTGAACTCTGACTTCCAGATTCAGTTTTTTCACCTTAGCCCCTTTGAAGGCATAAGCCCCCTCGGCGTCACTCAGGACGTTGACGTTCCGCACGGTGCAGTAGTGTCTGTTCAAGTTCTTCTCCATCCTGTCCGGGCTCCTCTTGGACACATCCACCTTGGTGTTCAGAGGGTATTCCTCCAGAATGTCCTCTGTGGGCGGTTTCTTCCTCTGCTTCTGGCATTTCCTGGTGAGGAAACAAGCCACCAAAAGCCCCAGAAGCAGGAGCATGACAGCAGCGAGGGCACTGCCGATAGACGCCCCAGTCTGGGAGAGAGAAGCAGCCACCACAGGCTCTTGCATGTCGAGATTCAGGGACTTCATGTTGGTGCCATTCTTGACTTGGTCCCCTTCATTGTCATAGATGAGCGAATCGTCAAGGGTCAGACGGCCACTGGGGTCCACCAGGTCCCTTCGGTGGCGCCTCAGAGGCGCCGTGAGAGAGCGCTGGACCCGGGGCCCTGAGATGGTGTCAGGACCAATGATGTAGATCACCTGCAGGTACCACTGGTGTCCTGCTTCCACCTGCGGGAGGAGGGAGACAGAGAGACAAAGCACGCATGTCACTGTGGCCCACAGACCACTTCTTCACGAGGGAAATGGAATGACCGTGAGCCTTGATAAATGGTCTCACTGAAAGCATTAGCAGTGGTTGGTGTCTACGAGTCGAGAATTGAACCAAATATTATAGGTTCTATTTTATTTCCAAATTAGGGTCATCTTGGGCCAGCTACTCACATTTTTTTCTGTTTTCCTACCTGTGTATGGAAGAGCCCTACGAATTTATCTTTCATCTTTTCTTTAGCTAAGTAAATACTTAGGATTGTCAGTCTTTATTGATAGCAGTGAAGTATTAATAATCATGTTTATTCCCAGTGACCTTCAATTGTATGTTATGCTAACTTACTATTATTGATGAACTTCAGCTACAGTCATTCAACAAATATCCACTAAACACCTACTCTGTGCATAATATGCAGATACATGACAAAAATTTCCTAAATCTGAACACTTCCTGGATCATCCCCTGAGCAGTTAAGTCATCAAGTATTTTATTGCCATTTCCTATGCCCCCATTGAAATCCTCCATGGTTTTGAACTAACTTCTGAGCAATGGCGACAGTTCTGAAATCCAAGGTCATGGATTACTACTTGAAGACAGGAAAAAGTGGAATTTGATTTTGGAAGTTCATGTTTACTACTGGACTTAGAGTATTTTTGCTCATCAAATACTAGTAATTCTTGTCGTTCTAAATTGCTGTACTGTATTTATGACTTTGTTAAGTGTTTTCCACATGCCAGTGAACATCAGCTGGTGTAGCATAGAGCCAAAAAGGCAGGCAATGTAAAAGAGTTCAGGAAAATCCAGAGTACCATATGCACCCCTGACTCACACTATGACAAGCGACTATAAGCAAATTAAAGAATTTTATTATTGCTGTGGTCTATTGGGATGGGTGGTGAAAATTTGGGGTGAATGGGGGCACCTGGGAGGTGCAGTCAGTTAAGCATCTGACTCTTGGTTTCTGCTCAGGTCAGGATCTCAGGGTTGTGAGATTCAGCCCTGCATCTGGCTCCGTGCTCAGCAGGGAGTCTGACTGAAATTCTCTCTGCCCCTACCCCTGCTCATGTGCGCGCTCTCTCTCTCTCTAAAATAAATAAATAAAATCTTAAAAAAAAATGGGGGTGAATGATAAGCTTAACACCAATAAAAAAGACCTGCCAGCAAGAATGCTATAAAAAGAGACTAACAGCCCACAGATAATGTCATCTTCCTTTTTGTAACTTTTAACGTGGCCTTGGTCCTATGCTTCTAACTCTTTTCACCACACTCACCTTATAGAGTGCGTCTACTTTCAGTGTAAATCCATCCACACCTGGCATGCTACTGACCACATGGAAATCAGGCAACTCGGAAGCAAAGTGGGCCTCAAAGGGCACATCATGGAAGTACTTATCAGTTACTTCTGGCTGACTGCGGTCCTAGAATTTCAGAAAAAAAGAAATGAAAGGTTTAGAAAGATAGAACCACTGACCCGGCAGGTGGCAGTCACTGGGAGGAGAAAGGTACTCTCCACTCCTGCCTTGGGTTGGGTCAGGAGAGTACGTGCTGTAAAAGCCTTTTCCTTAAGTCAACCACTGCCTCTGGGCACCCACTGCTCTCTTCAAGGAAGGACACTTGGTGGATTCTGTGATCTCAAAGCTCAAAGAGTGGGGTAGCCTAGACAAATAATTCTCAGGCCATTTGGTTTCAGGACCCCTTACACACTTAAAAATCAAGGACCCCAAAAGTCTTATGTTTATATGATTTATAACTATCAATATTTACTCTATTTAAATTAACACTGAAAAATTATAAAATACTCATTTTATAATTCATTTTAAAGTGGCAATGAAAAACCCACTGCATGTTAACATATGTAACATTTTTTAGAGAAAATACCTATATTCACCCTCAGCTCCTCAAAGAGAGCTGGCATTGTTTTACATTTTTGCAAATCTCTGCAAAGAACTAGATTCTCATAACTTCTATATTGCCTCAGTTGCGATATGTTAGTTTGGCTGAAGTATATGAAGAAAATCTGGCCTCACACAGATGTGTAGTTGAAAAAGGGAGAAATGATTTCATACCTTTTTCAGATAATTGTGGATATTCTCTTTGATACTGAATCAAATTCGGTAAGTGGTATTTTTGAAAGATTAATTACAATGTGGAATTTGAAACCATATCAATAAACCTTTCACACCTTCTACACTCATGAGGGAATTAGTGTGGGGAAAAAAAAAAAAAGCAAGCATCATTATATTATTATGAGAGTGGTCTTGACCTTGTGGACTCCCTGAAAGAGAATCGGGGATATGCAGGGTCCATACTCTGAGAAACACTGGTTCATACTCGGGGAAACACTGGCCTCAACTTTCCTTTTCCCGGGACGTTAATAATAGCTTGTCTTGTTACCCACTGTAACCATCACATTTGGTAATATGTGCTAGCATTTAGCTGATTAGAGAGAAACAACAAGAGCAATACGGATAGAGAGAATACCGTCAAGAGTGGGGTTCCATCTGCTTGAGGCGGAATTCATAGCTAAGGAAATCAACTTGGGTGTCAGTTGTTTAACACTAACAGTTAGCATACCAGCAGCAGAAATCTGTGTTTCAGGTGTTTGTTTGGCTGAATGCATCCATACTGCGGCCCTTCATTGTAGATTGTCCCTGTGGGATCAAAGAAAGGCACATAGCCATCCTTGCCGGTACAAAGATAGACCTTCTCCAGCTGGAGTTTGTAAGCAGAATTAAGGTTTTGTTCTGGATTCCAAAGTACTCGGCCATAAAGGTTTTGACCTGGAAAGATTGAGAGGCATTAATTAGGTCAGACTTTAAGATTAAAGAGAAAGAAATATCAAGGGTAGAAAGGATTTAACACACTCCCTTAGAGTCAAAAGTACCTCTCTATGAAGAGCTCTATGATTCCATGTGCCCTTAAAATACTCATTCATCCATTTACAGTTTCTTTTATTCCATAAACATTAATTAAGCGTTTAAGGTATGCCAAGGACTCTGTTGTGCACAGGGGACACAAAGGTGAGTGAGATGCAGCTGAGAGGACAGAAATAAAACCTAACCAATTGCTAAAAATAACATTGCTAACATTTATCAAACTCATACTATTTGGTAGGTCCTGTACTAAGTTCTTCCCATGTAAGAATTCACGTAGTGCTCATTATTTTATAGATGTGAAGTTGAGGCGCTGAGTGGTTAAGTGACTTGTTGAAGGTCACAAAGCTAGGAGGTAGTGGTGGTGGGATTCAAAGTCAAGGGACTTGGGCTCTTAAACCCACCCTTATCACAACATGATACCATTAGGTACCACAATAGAGGAAGGTACATAATGTTACATGAGCATATGGCTGAGCACAGAGATCTGCCTGGGGAGAGGTATGGAAAGGTTTAAAGAGGAGATAATGTTTGAGCAATACCCTAAAACATGAGTAGGCATTTGAGGTAGGAGACTGGGGAGACCATTTAGGCAAAAGAAAGTCCACGCACAAAATACTGTATGCTGGAAGGTGAGTCCCGGTGTTGCTACTGTCTCCTTAGTGTCTGTCATGGCACTTTCTTTACATCTACGTCTACTTTCTTTCCTTATACTATCTTATTTATTCTTCCCAAGAGCCCAAGAGATAGGTTCAATTATTATCCTCATTTTAAATAACATTAAAGGTTTCCTATCTGTGACATGGGAGGATGAGAAATTGAGCAAGGTTTCCTATCTGTGACATGGGAGGATGAGAAATTGAGCACAAATCTGTCATGCAGAGCATTTGCTATGTGGCACTGAGTAGGTCAGTGTGACTAGAGAGGAGGAAGTTTAGAGGCTCTGGCAGGAGAGACTCCTGGGAAGATAGGTTAAGGGTGCTGGGGAGCCTGGACTTCGGTGTGTAAGAAATGGGGAACACTGGAAGGTTTTAAGCAGGGGTGTAATATCAACACACCGGGGCTTCAGAAACATGGAGCATGGAGGAAAGACTAAAAGACTAGAGTCGCAGAGATCGGGTCGGGGGCTATGCTAATACTCTTGAGAGACAGGTATCTAAAATATAGCTGTGAAGCACGGGATGAACTCAAGAAATGTCTGGGAGTCAGATTCTACTGATCTTAATGATAGATGGGAGGCATAGGAGAAGAGGAGGATGATCCTGAGGTTTTTGCCTGGGGCACCTGGAGTATGATGATGCAGTCAATGCGGCAGTGGATGTGGTAGGAGGGAGATAAGTCCTGTTCTAGATACTTCTAGGTGTCTGAAAGACATCCATTTGAAGCAGCTTGGTAGTTCCAGACCCACATGTGGAAATGTAGAAATGAAGTTCGGAGAGATCAGGGTAAAGTCAACTCTTAAGGAATGGCTGTGGGGGAGTAGGAGAATAGGGAGTTCAGAGCAAAGGGATGGGCCAAGCCACAGGGATGACCAGAGGCTGCAGTGGAGTAAGAACAGAAGGAGTCACGCATAGAACCTGGGGATAATAACATGGATATATCAGAGGATGAAGACCCAGGGCAGGAGAGTGAGGAGTGGCCAGAGAAGCAAGACTGTGTCAGGTGAGGGTGGGGCAAAGGAAACCCAACAGGAAATAAGTGTCCAAATCCACAAATTTGGTGTCATTGACAAAAGAGAGTTCTAAGTTGTGCATGGTGGGATAAACCCAGACTGTGACAGATGGACGGAGGTGAAGGGCCATAGAGACAGTGTGTGCTCACCGCTCACTCTTTGAAGAAGTTTCTCAGAGAAAAGAAAAGGAGAAAACAGACTGAAGTTTGAAGGAGAGTTAGGGCTGAGGGATGCTTTGCTTTTTTCTGTTATGGGCAGGACCTGAGTGTGTTTTTAGGATGAGAGAAAAAGCTCAGATATGAGGAGAAGGTTAAAGTAAGAAAAAGGCAGAAGGGGCCATTGAGAGAACAAAGGCAGATAATTGACTAATTCGTTTATTCAATCAATCAATATTTATTAAGCACCTAGGCATGGTGGTCTGGTGTGCAAATTTGATATCTGATCACAATCTCTACTCTTGTGGAACTCATTGTCTAGTGGTAGAAATAGGCAACAAGTAAAGAAATATGTAATATATATTATACAATATTAAAATTGTGAGAAGTACTATAAAAAATGAATAATGTTCTGTGAAAGTGAAAAATATGGAGGCCTATATTCAACTGGTGTGGTCAAGGAAAGCCTCTTTGAGACGGTTGACAATTAAGTAGAGACCTGAAGGAGAAGAAAGGGCTATCCTTTTGAAACGTCAAGGAAACCATGTTTGGGGTGAGGAGGGAGCAGAGGAACCATTTCTAGCAGAGAAAGCATGATGGAGAGTACACAGACATTTGGCAACCTTGAGGCTGGTAGGTAGTGAGGGTCATGTTGCAATCTCTCTCTGAGTAACTGAGAGATAAAGCAACTTAGCCAAAGTCAGATAGCATGTTAGAATCTGGTTGGAAACCCTAGTCTTCTTACCACTCAGACCAGAGTTTTTCCAGAGTACCACACTGCCAATCATTACAGTACCAAATATGTGATCTTATTTTGATACGACATGAAGGAAGGATATGGGTCTGTTCCTCGGACTAAATCTTGGCTATCCTAGAACCAAACCCAGGGGAACCTTCACTGGAGAGTTGCCCGAAAGCCAATGAGCAGAGATGCTAGTCCAGAGACCTGTCCTAAAGCATCTCAAGTCCAGCCACAGTCTCTTTCTGCAGGTGAAGGAAACAACTTACCTTTTGAGAAGGCCCCTTTGTAATCCATTTCTGCCAGTGACATATCAGATGTATTGGGATCCATTAGGAACACCTTCTCATTATTGCAGAGCTGAAATTCGGTATTGAGTGAATACACAACTGGTACAGGGCGGTTGGTCTGCTGGAATGCAATGGGGATCAGGAATCTAGATGCAGGAAAAACAAGAGCTCCTTGAGAGCAGGGTCCACTCTGCAAACTTCGGGCTGTCTTCCCTGCCCGCCCTTCTCAGGATTGTGAACTGTGCTTTGTGGCAGGTGCTAAATAATCACTGAATAAAGAGATGTGGGTAGGAGAAATAATCTAATTCATCTGTAGAAGTCTTTTGTACTTTTTGCTTTTCCTAGCCCTTCCATTCTGAAGGTCCCCAAGGTTGCTCTTTGATTGCTGAAGGGCTCATCGCCATAGTACCCTGCCTAGACTTCTCCTTCCCAGATCTGCCTGCTCTGAAACTTTGACTCTTTCAACCTGATCCAAATATAACGTCCCACTCTTCAAGACATTGCCAAACAATACTCTCTTGCCTCACTCCTTACTTCAACCTCCCTGGCCTTCCTTCTTGGTCTTTTGAGTCTGCTCTTTTCTTCCCAGCCTCTGGCACATAAGGGCTTCTCCAGCCAGACTGGCCTTCTTTAGGTCTCTTGACATGTTCTCTATTCCATATTTCTACTGCCTTGGGACTCACTATTCAACAAATATTCACTGAGCTTTTATTATGTGATATACATTGTTCTAGTAATGGGAATTCATCTGTGAACAAAGCAGAAAAACATATGCCCTCAGGGACAATATGTTCCAATAGGGAATCGGTTAATAAGTAAGTTCAAAAATGTATAGTACATGAGAAGGAAGCAGGTGATGAAGAGAAATGCGAGGCAGAGAAAGGGAATGCTAGGAAGAGGTTCAGCTGGAAATTTTAAATATGGGGGTCACAGAAGGCCTCAGTGAGAGGAAAACTAGGAGGTTGGAGCTACCCTTACCTGAGATGGGAAAACTGTTGGGGGGACTAGATTTGGTGGAGGAAGAGGAGGGATTCAGCAACAGGCATGTTCAACTTGGGAGGCCTATAAGAGAGCCAGGTGGAGAAGCAGAGCAGGCAATCTGATGCACAAGTCTGGATGTGAGAGGTAAGCCCTGGGCTGAAGGTGTTCCTTTGTATTTAAAACCTTGGGAACGAATGATGAGTGAGACCACCACATGAAAACAGAGACAGAAGAGACAGTGCTGGCACGGCACTTAGGGTGCTCCAAATTCAAAGGCAATGGAAAAGAGGAGGAACCAGCAGAGCAAACAGTGAGGGAAAGCCAGTGGGCAGAAGAAAAGCCTACAGAGCATGACACTGCAGCTGAGTGAAGAAAATGTTTCAAGGAGGAGACTGAACTGTTAACTGTTGTAAAGCCGTCGCAAAAATAAAGATGAGACTCAACCCCTGATTCTAGTAAGACACAGTCATTGGTGACCTTGACAAGATCAAGCTGGGTGAAGGGACGAGAGCAGAAGCCTCACTGAAGTGGGCTCAAGAGATAATGGAAGGTGCTAAACTGGAAATTGCGAGTCTAGGCAACTCTTGAGGGACAACTTGAAGTACAAGGAAGGGGAAAATGGGTGTGGAGGGAAAAATGGAGTCAAGAAAGGACTTTTTTTTTTAAAAATGGGAGAAGTTACATGTTTTTAATGCTGATTGGAGTGATTCACAGAGAGAGGAGAATGGCTTATAAGATGCTCTTTATAAAGCCGGATGAGAGGATTTGGGTTTCAGTGCACACGTGGGGTGGCTGGCTTGGAATAGGAGCTAGGACTGTTCCTTCATATGGTACGTGCAGATGCAGGGAGTGGGTAGATATGATGGTAGGAGCTTGGGTGAGTTCTCTTCTGATTTCTTCTGTTTCCTCCATGAAATAGGACACAAGATAATCAGCTGAGGGTGAGGATGGGGGAGATACAGCAATTTGAATGGGAAGGAATAAAATAGTTGAGAAGAGTGAGAGAGTGAAGCCAGTGGTTAGGAACTGTTTTTATTTTGTGCTGGGAATCTCTGAGGGTTGACTTGAGATTAGTGATAATGAATTTGAAGTTTCCTGACTTTGACCTTGCTGGGCATTCTGCAGGAACACTCCTCTGTCTGCCTTTCTTTGCCTAGTTAACTCTTACTTATCCTCCAGATCTCAACTCAAACACCACAGTGTCTAGGCAGTTCACCCTCTTTCTCTTCCCTTCCAGCCTAGGTCAAATCCCTTATCATTTGTTCTCCCTCTCTCTAAATTTAATTAATTAATTTGAGAGAGAGAAGGAGAAAGAGTAAGGGGAGGGGCAGAGGGGTAGAGAGAGTCGTAAGCAGACATGGGGCTTGATCTCACAACCCTGAGATCATGACCTGAGCTGAAATCAAGAATCAGATGCTTAACCGACTGAGCCACCCAGGCACCCCTTATCATTTGTTCTCATTACACTGTGCACTTTTCATTCACAGTACTTATCATGATTTGATATTTTATTTAAATAAAGTGACTTTAAATGTAAATCAGGTCGAAGTCTGCTTCACCCATTACAGGTTCCATAGAATCACAGCCCATATCTACTTGCTCACTATTATATCTTCATTGCTGGCCAAGCTTCTGACACATACATTTGTTAAAGAATAATGCATGAGTGATAATTTCAATGCTTTATACTTGCAACAGAGTCCTTCCGACCATTCCTTACTTTTAACTGGAAGTGCTCCAGTGGGTAGATTTGAGAGGATTGGGGTATAGGAGGAACTTGGAGCATAGGAGCAACCCACACAAGCTAGGGCTGACCCTGCTTCGACTACTTTGCTTTGTTGCACCAAGAGCTCATTTAGCGGACTCAGCAAAACAGGTTTTTCTTGTTGATCCTGGTATTACCAGATTCCATGTAGTATCTGACACCTAAGATACTCAATGAATATTTACTGATTAAATAGAACAAACAATGGACTAGAGATGACGATGATGATTTATAAGGTTGGAAGGTCTGACAGACCTCACAAAAACAGGCATTATAGGGGACATAATTCTTTTGAATTAAGTCTGAATTCCCTGAGTCAGTCTTGACTATTTTTTGTGTTGCAGTTCTATCGCATCCCTGGGGAGCCATATAGACGATCAAAAGCAGGGTTAGGCCCTACGGAAAGTCACCCTGGGAATAACAGGGACCCCACAAGTAACGATCTCCCTGATGTAAGGCAAAGACTTCCAACTCTAAAGCCTCAGTAAACTGACTCAACAACAGTCTTCCCTCTGTGGCCTCCCAGACCCACACAGCACCAGGGGTAGAGATGTGTTGGTGTCTTTTTGCTCCTTTTTGCCATTTTCGAATGGCAAAAGACTTAAAAAAAAAAAAAGAGGTCTGGCACCTACCCTGGAGAAACTCTTCTTACGTATGTATGCTCAGAGACACATATAGTATTCTTCATAACAGAATGTGGAATTATATGCCAAGCAGAATGGTCAAATAAATTGTGGAATACTCCCACAATGAATACCTTAAGGCAGCAAGGCACAAAGCACAGCTACATGAATCAACACAAATGTTGATACACTTATGAATCAAGAAGTGATTCATTGAGCAAGAAAGAAAAGTTGCAGAGCGAATTTGTGCAGTATGACATTTTTATATCGCTCAAAAACATGCAAAACCATGCAGAAGTAAATATGAGGTAAACCATAAACCAAAACAAGGGATGATAAGTACAAATATCAGTCTAGTGGTTACACAGGTGGAGAGGTGGGAAAGACAGTGCAACTTGAGTGTTACTCAGGGTATAGGTACTGGGAATGTTCTAGTTCTTTTTTTTTCTTTGACTCCGACTTTCACTGGTTATAAAATGGAAATAATGGTGCCAATTTTGTGGGGGAACGCTATAGTGAGAAGTGTTAAGAGCTTAGTACAGAGTCTCCCACAGCGTCTGCACTCCATACGTGATCATTAATACCCCCAGTAGTTATTATTACTCATTTTATCATCAGTAAGCCCAAGAGATACTCACTCACGCAGTTGCAATTCCTATCAGATAATGTTCTATTACTCAAGGTTTTATATAGGCATTATATGTGGTCTTCTATGTAATATAATATTCATAATTAAAAAAATTGAATACGTGAATACAAATGTCCCAGCATATCTCACCTGATGATTTGCCCTCTGTTCTTCCTTATTGCAGCCAACTACCATTTTCCTGGTCACTTTCCCTCCCTCACTTAGCTGACTACCGTGCTCCTACCATCGATCTTGGTGATTTCAACGTCCACATGGATGAATCATCTAATACCCTTCAGCTCTCAGTTCCTTGATATCTTCACCTCCAAAGAGCTTGTTGTCCACCCCACTCATGCTTCACGGTCCTACTATGTGTCACCTCCCCAAATCTCATTTCCCAGCATCTTCCTTTCTAACTACCGTCCCCTGACTTTGAGCTCACCCCTTCTGTTACTTCCGCTCATTAATTCTCTAATCACACGGAACCTCCCTGACCACTTTGACCAGGAACTGGAACACCAACACACTCATGGTGGGAAGGTACACACATTGTTCCATATAACAAACACTTCAGAAAACAGTTTGGCAGTTTCTTAAAAGTTAAGCATATACCTACCATACGATCCAGCCATTCTATTCCTAAGTATTTACACAGGAAAATAGAAAGCATATGTCCATGTAAAGGCTTGTATATATATGTTCACAGCAGCTTTATTTCTCACAACCATAAACTGGGAACAACCCAAATGTCCACCAACTGATGAGCTGATAAACAAAGGGCAGCATCATAGCTGTACCTTGGAATACAATTCATCAGTAACAGGAACAAACTACTGTTACACACAACAGGGGTGCAGGCAAATAATCATGCTCAGTGAAAGAAGTCAGAGACGAATGCATACTGTATGATGCCACTGACATGAGTTTCTAGAAAATGCAAACTAATCTGTAGTGACAGGAAGCAGATCAGTGGATCCTGGAGAAAGGGGTGGGCTCGCATGGGGTAGGAGGGAGGGATTACCAAGGGGCATGAGGAAACCTTTGGAGGAAATGGATATATTCACTATGTTAGCTGTGATGGTTTCATGGGTGTATACATATGTCAGAATTTATTAAACTGTATCTAGCTTAAGTATGCACAGTTTATCTTGTTGTCAAAGATACGGCAATTTTAAAACAACTCAATGGGCTCTTAGCACTGCCCGATCAGCTGCTGTCGGCGACCCTCTAGCACACCCACTTTCCCACTCTCTGAGATAGCTGTCTCAAGCCTCAGTGTTCCTTACTTCCGGTTAATGTTTAGCTTCTCATTTTATGGAGAAAACAGATTTAATCAGATTCTACTTTGTCATCCCTGTCCTCGCAATCTACCAATTCTCCCCTCGCCTATATCCATGCACTCTGCATGCCTTCCTCTTTCACTGGATGAAGGCTCTGGGCTTCAAGTGAAGGTTGGCCCTTCCCCTCTTGTCCTAGATCTATCCCCACCCGACTCAAAGGCTTGGCTCAGCTGACTTCCCCTTGTTCTACTGCAACATGAAATTTCACCTAATAGACCACTAGTATACAAACACCCTGAAATATTTTCCACTCTAAAACACAAATAAGACCTCTTCTGACTTCGTATCTGTTTCTAGCTACTGTCCCTTTCCTCTGACATCCTTTATAATAAAACACCTTAGGCACAGTTTATCCCTGTTGTCTCTACTTTCTCTCCTCTGTCTCTCGTGGTCTGATCAGGCTTTAACCCCTCAGTCCACCGAGCCTGCCCTTTGTCAAGATCATCAACCACTTCTCAATCGCCAAATCCGATGGCCCATTCTCAGTTTCTTAATTTGACTGTCACATTCCAAATTGTCTTCTCTTCATGATAATGTCAGATTCTGTCAACATCCTCTCTTAAAAATGTTTTCTCGGGGCGCCTGGGTGCCTCAGTCGTTAGGTGTCCGCCTTCGGCTCAGGTCACGGTCCCAGGGTCCTGGGATCGAGTCCCGCATCAGGCTCCCTGCTCTGCGGGGAGCCTGCTTCTCCCTCTCCCACTCCCCCTGCTTGTGTTCCCTCTCTCGCTGTGTCTCTGTCTCTGTGTCAAATAAATAAATAAAATCTTTAAAAAAGAAGTTTTCTCTTCACTTTGCCCAGCTCCTAGAAGGATGGTGCTAGAGCTGAGGTTACCTTTAATCCTCTGCTATAATCTCCATGCTGGACCAGAGCCAAGCACACGATAAGAGCTGAGTTAACACTGGTTGAATGAATGAACATATGGCACACCGTGGACAGTCTCAGGTCTGAGGTGGGTACAGGCCGCGTTGATTCTTGTTATTCGTGGTAAGTATGCTCCAGAGTTGCGGCGAATGCTGAGTCAGTGAATACTGAATCACTGCTCCTAGGGCAAATACAGGGTAGAGCTCCCGCAGCCTCTGGTCACAACATATTCACTGACTGACCAATACCTAGCCCCGTTCTATGCATGTTTCTGTTTAAAACACCTTATTTAATATGTTGTTAATTTGTTAACGTAGAACTCGTGGCAACAGCACTGAAAACCTATGCCCAAGAAAGTCTATGTGACCTAAGGTACGTCACAGGCTTCTTTACTTAGGAGTATTAGGTAGCTCCTCAGCACTATGCTTGGGAGCTGTTACAAATGGTGAAATCACCAATAAAAAAGCACAAAAATTTGAAAACCACGGCACTACACAGACCATGAAAAGGATACTTGTTTATAGTTATGAAACCTGGAAGAAGAAGGTAGAGTGTTGCCTTGCTTGACCTGAGCCGGGAATGTGTGTGTCAGGTGACTCAACATTTTGCCACTCTGCATGCCTGCGAATGACCATGAAGGCATCACGAGAACGGATTTTGCCGTAACAAATACATTTTAGCGAGGAGGTGAATTTACACATCATGAGGACCTGCCATATTTCCCTACCTTTCTGGGGCATGTGCAGTGCAGGCCAAAGGCTTCTCTCCTGGATCAACCCACGGCTGTGTGGGCTGCACGGTGCATGGGATCAGGTAGATGGTGTACTCCCCCGAGTAGTCCTTCCTGGAAACATGCAGAGCACACTGTGGTTAGAGGGGACATTTTATAGATTATTTACTCACCCAGAAACACACTGACTTCATTAAACACCTTTCAGATGGTATTTGTGCTCAGCATCTACAGACTTTACAGGTCTGCAAACACAATCTTCAGAAATTCCTCACTGGTTATTTTAACTGTCAGGGTATTATCCAGAGGTGTTAAATAGAGCTACTTGCCTTTATCCTATACTGGTCCTTTTCATGAGAAAAGCTGAGAAAGGCACATTGTTTATAAAAACCTAAAAGGCTCAAGTGAAGACAAAACAGAACTGGCCACTTCCTTTAGATTTCCATGAAACTTGTTTGACAATTTCTACTTAGGGTTTCTTGTTGATGGACACCCTGCTCAACACATTCTCGACCGCGAAAGATTCTTATTAAGATGTGGACAGGTCAGCGGCTGCTGACCGCTGGTGGCAAATGCCTCAGGGTTAAAGAACACCCCACTCAGAGAGCGCCTGCACCCCCATTTCCTTAGCATTTGGTTTCCGGGCTCCTCTTCCAAACTCTAGGGCTCAGCCCATCACGATGCTGAAGGACAATCTCTCTTCTCATAGGAGACTAAGCGTTGAGAATTTCCCTCCTTGTGGTGGATCACAGAATTCTGTCGGTTAGGACACCAAGAGCAGGGAGCCTTTGTACCCTCACCTACTTCATTTCCCACACTTGTCATGGAGTAGCAGCCCCAGCCCTGGCAGGCTGCCTGGAAGACAGCCAGACAGCCAGAGACTTCAGGAAGATTCTTCAAGAGTCTTGGGAGGCTGCCATCAACTGAATGAAGAGTGCAAGGTTATGAATCTTAATTATAACTGTTGTGAGCAATCTGTGACAGTTCTCACATTTGCTGTGTTTGTTTTTTGACCATTTCTTTTATATTTATCTAGTTATTCATAAAGTGATAGCAAAGATTTGGTTAGATAAATAAACAAAACTTATATGACACATCCTGGGGTCATTTTAATGGAATGGCACAAGCTGGAAACTGAGATGGTCTAAACCTGGTTTGCCTTTGCCTTTTCCACAATTGTATGATTTTTGACAAACAATGCAAACTTTCAGGGCTGAGTTTCTAAGCCCCTTCCTGTCTGACAGTCTGTATGTCTGTTATTTTCCTCCATGAGCCCTCTCTTCCTCCAAACCCTGGGCCAGCAGGAGGTGAGACCTTATATATCACATTTGAATTACATGAAAATTGGCATGCATAATGTGAATAGTAACTCATAATTAATAGAAACATTTAGGCAGGCAGAACTGTCCATGCCGGAACCCTTGCTTTCAAATGGGCTGGATCATGCTGCTCCCCTGCTCAAACCCTGCTGTGGCTCTTGGGTAAATGTCAAGGTCCAAGCACTGTGCGGGCCCCACCCCATCCCCCTACTTCTTTGGCCTTACCGCCCATCCTCTTGCTCCTTGCTCACTCCACTCCAGTCACACCAGCCTCCTTACTGTTCCCCAGGATGCGAGACACGCTACCAATTCAGAAACCCTGCCAGCAAACTCCCTCACCTCCTTCCAGTATTTGCTCAGATGTACCTTCTTGTTGAGGCCTACTTTGCACATCCTAATTGAAATCACAATGTCCCCCCACTCCTGATTCTCCTTACAGATTGCTCTAAATCCTTTATTTTTCGGGGCATCTGGGTGGCTTAGGTCATAATCCTGGGCTCCTGGGATGGAGCCCTGCACTGGGCTCCCTGCTCAGCGGGGAGCCTGCTTCTCCCTCTGCCTGCTCCTCCCCCTGCTTATGCTCTCTCTCTCTTTTGTCAAATAAATAAAATCTTAAAAAAAATAAATCCTTTATTTTTCCACGGCACTCCCCACTTTCTGACATGTTCTGCCATACTTGTTTATTATGGCCACCTTTTTGTGTCTTCTTACTTTACTGTAAATGCTGTGTGGATCTTTATTTTGTTCACAAATGTATCCAAGTACCCAGAACCTTCCCTAACACACAGTAAATGCTCACTAAATATTTGCTGAACAAATGAATGCAGGACAAAGTACATGGCTTCCCAAGCCCACAGTCCTACTTTTCTCATCCCTAAATATGATTTAGGCCCATTTCCTCACTATCCCTGCAAATATGCCATCCCTAGATGCAGGTTTTTAGTTCAATAGGTCTCCCCCTCTCCTTTCTGAGAACTAGACCTTTCTCATACTGCAACATGGAGCACGAGCTGCCCCACCTCCTCCAGGAAGCCTTGTGCAGCTCCCCAGCCCTCCCTGAACAGCCATGGTCTCCGCGTTCGGTGCCTCTCACAGCACACATAGCACAGCATGCTGGATGTTGTTCTACACGTTGCCATTTAGTTATATTTTCTTATCCCCTTACCTCAAACGTAAGCTCCTAAGGGATGTTTATTCAGGACCTACCATGTGCTAAAACCTGCAGCTCTGGGGATTCAAGATCAATCAGGCATGCCTTTACCCTGGGGAGCTCACAAGCTAGTGGAAAATGGGACTCTACTTAGAGAATGTAATATAACGAGCTGTGTTCCAGTAGAAGCTGGAACAAGGTGGGAAGAGGAAGAGGGGCCTCTAGCACTGTATGGGGAGTCAGGGAAGGTATCGCAGAGGGGTTGGTATTTGAGTATTTGAGCTGGGGCTCAGAGGAGTTCAAGGTCTGTAAGAGGGAAAGAGCAGAAAGGGCAGAGGGAATTGCAAAGGCATGGAGGTACAGATGGGCTGGTGGGTTCAGGGGTTGGTGAGCTATTTAATGTGGTTCAGAAGGTTGGGTTTGAGATGAGGCTAGAGAGGAGGGTATGGGCTTTGAATAAAGAATTTGGACTTCATCCAGTAGGCAGTGGGGAATCAGTAGAGGATTTAAAGAAGACAGTTTCCATGTCTATAAATTAGGACATAGCATGCATATAATCTCATGAGCTTCTAGGAAGCATAGCCTTTGAAGATTATTACATATTGATTTCAAAGGAATCATTATTAAAAAAAAACCTGATATAAAACCAAAAATTCACAATTAAAGAAATCTTTTTGAAAATGATCCTTAAGACAACCTGCTACTTCTTAACTATAAAGCTGGGACAAGAATTTCATGCTAAATACCAATCTTAATTTCATGATCTATAAAATGAGGATAATAGTATTTATGATGGACTCCTGGTTGCCTCATTATCCTTTTTATGGTAATAGTTTTCATTGTGTTTCTCCTATTCCTCCCCTTCACAAATGAGATATTTTACATATTTAACCAATTCCTATTCTACCTCTATTTTGGGTGTGGGAGAGAAATAAATCTTATTATTTATTTTATAGAAGATTGGACCATAAGGGGTGACATCTGGATCTGATAAACAGAGATCCTGGATTTTGAACTGGTCGTAGTGATTGGATTGAAATTTTTTTATTATACTAGGATTTTTAAAAATGATTTTATTTAATTATTTATTTGAGAGAGAGAGAGAGAGAGAGCATGAGTGGGGTGGGGGGGCAGAGGGAGGAGGAGAGAATCTCAAGCACACTCCATGCTGAGCGTGGAGCCTGACTCAGGGCTCAACCTCAACACCCTGAGATCATGACCTGAGCTGAAACCAAGGATGCTTAACCAACTGAGCCACCCAGGCACCCCACTAAGGCTTTAATTAGACATATTTCCCAGGTAGATGTGTCACATGACTAAATTCTAGCCAATAGGATGCGAATAGAAGTGATACGCAGCCTTCTCAGTCTTATCCTTATAATAAGGGTAACTACTTCCTCGTCTACACAGCACAAGCTGATCTGACTTACTTTGTTTCTTTCTCTATTTGTCAAGGGTTATTTCTACTCTCCCCTTAACAACGGAAATCCAACTTTTGCAAAAAAAAAAAAAAGCCATATTTCCCAAGCCTCTGAAAGAGACTGAGACCATTTCAGATCTCCCCCAAACATCCCATTCTGTATTCACCTGTTATAAGAGCTTGTGGCTCTCCAGAGTTGATATGGAGAATCAAAAGTCTGAGCACTCCATAGTAGCTGCAGGTCAAATTCAATTCCTCCTAAGTGGTCTGGAGTCAGTATGAATGATTTCACATCAGGGAGGGTGTGGTGCTCCATCACAAACTGTCCTATTTCAAGGGGAAACACACACACTTAGTTGTGAGTTTTATCATCCTTGAGATGAATCCCCTACTAAAGCCTTAGTACCGAATTAATATTCTTCTACCAAACAACTAAGGTTATACCTACCCTCTCACACCTTAGAATGTATTCCACCCTGGCTGGACAGCATGGCATCTCACCCCGATCTATCAGCATACTCATGATGGTCATTATGGTCATATATATTTATAAACAACATGAATGTTCCTTGTGAAAAGGGTGCGGGCATATTCATAATAATAGGGGCCCTTATGTGACAATGAATGTCAAATACACTTAGTTTTGAATTCCAAAAAACATGTTTCTTAGAGGCAGAAAGGTCTTGGTAGCTTATAAACAGAAATATCAGTTTCAGATTAAAAAAAGTTACATTTATAGCCACTCAAGTCCTCAGTGGAAGGAGACAATTGTAAACATCATTGAAAAGGTAAAGGTTACTCAGCAGGACACTTCTACTCTTTAAAAATGCAGTCATAGGGCGCCTGGGTGGCTCAGTTGGTTGGGCGACTGCCTTCGGCTCAGGTCATGATCCTGGAGTCCCGGGATCGAGTCCCATGTCGGGCTCCCTGCTCGGCAGGGAGTCTGCTTCTCTCTCTGACCCTCCCCCCTCTCATGCTCTCTCTCTCTATCTCATTCTCTCTCTCAAATAAATAAATAAAATCTTTAA